TGGCTGGTTTCGGTCTCGGAGCTCGACATGATTTCAGGCTTATTATTGTGGATATATTGTGTTGCTTGAAGTTGTCGGCTTGCTACTGATTTCCATTAGCCTCCGGCCACTGTTTATATGCAATTGATTGGTATGCAATTTCTAGACAGTCATAAATATCCATGCGGTAAAACCTTCCTTTATTCCTCCATCTGTCGTTTTATGACCTTACCTGCCCAATTGTACAATTTTCGCCGAAAATTGCCGCTAATCCCATTTTAATGCCTTCGAAATTGTGCGCCCAGGTAGTCAGCTAAGCACTTTATGAGCCGTCTAGTAATCTACAAACGATATGTTTTCAAGAGCACTTTCAGAAATATTCTTGTGGATACGCGACTTTTTTCTAACTCGAAAACCGTCAATGTTCGCTCTCTTCTCCAGTATAGTCGGAGGTGTCCACAAAAGCTTCTTATCTAATGATACTATTGATTTTTCTTCCTCAGACATATATTACCCGTCAAATTTGTATATTTGGATGAGCTGTTTTTTGTGGGTCTCCGGCAAGACGTAGAGACGGATGGACACAGCTCCAGTGTAAAAGCTAGTCGATTGGTTTTACATATATAGTGTTTCCAAGTCACATTAAAATAAATCTCTAAGAACGCTCAAATAAGCAACCTGTAATAATTAGTTTTTATTTAACATTTTACGTCGAGGGGAAAAAGCCAGGCTGTTAAAATTCGAATAATTTTAACGATGATATTTTTGCGTCAACGCACAGTAGGACATCGACCATTTCAGCTTGCTAAATTGAAAACTGCTGAACAAACAAATATAAGTACATATGTGTCTTCATGAACTAAAATGCTTTTTAAAATGTAGTCTGCTTAGGTCAATATTGATGCAATGATTTAAAAGTTTAACTTTGATTCCTGTGCATATTTTTGAAATTAAACATTTTAATTTTTTTGTACTGCTAAAGAACGTTTTATTGCCAATTTTGCTACACAAAAATATTAAAATTTTTCATTTAACATCTAAAAATTTGTTTTACAAAATTAAAAATATAAATAATTTGTATCGTAGAACTTGGTCCAAATATTTTTATTGGTAAAATAATCATTCGCATTGCAACAAATATCTTGTAAACTTAACATTTCTGAAGGCTAATGGATGATATTTTTTGTGTATTTTTAGACCCTCTACTCGAAGAGTACCCTTTTTTTTTGGTACTTGTCGGTAATTTATTTGACATTTTGAACCTTGTTTTTAAGAACATTACAGGCAGCTGTAAAGTTTCTTAAAGTTTTGCAGCTCTTAAGATTTATGCTTAGGAAATATTAAACTTTAAAATGCTAAATTTTCGACCATTTCGACAATAAAAGCCCAGGAAAAGTCCAAAATGTCTTTGGACTCTAAATAAGTATTTTTAAATAAAATTTCATTTTGTTGTTCGATCCTTTTATCATACAAATGTATTATGGGTCTCAATTTATATATCGTTTTCATTAAAATCAAAGCAACGAAGCTGAAACTGAGCGGCCTTTTTTCGAAACGAAAAAAAAATGTTTCCAAAAATAAATCATTCGTGTAACTACCGACAGATGGCGCATGTGCATGTAGAACTAGAGCTGCGCGCCAAAGTGAAAATATCCATACTATTTTCAACTTGAAATATATTATCAGCAAAAAATATATATCGATACATATTTAACATGCTAACAACAGAACATGTCGATGGAAACAAACATATGTTTCACACTGTTATGGCATATGTTAGCCGTTTCCAATTCTGGTTTCAATTAATCGCCAATGGTGCTTTTAAATACCTTCCACAGACGAATCCAGAACAATAATAGTCAATAACCATTAAATGAAAGCAATTGATTTGGTCCAACGTCGCGAGAACCTAATAAAGTGCCCTAAAGTCATATGTGTATTGTGTAACTGCTTAAAAGATGAGGCAACCAAGCGACTGCGGGAAAATTCTGATCATATAATTTCTTAAATACTAATCTACGTCGAAAGGCACAAAACGGAACAGAGAAAACACCGCAGTAACGAAAATAGCAAAGGAGAACTCGTTGCCAGAAAAACACCTCTCAGGCAGCAGGCAGGCAGTCACCAGGCGGACAACAACAAAATCAGCGAGGTTTAAATTAAACATTTAAATACCAAACACAACCATGTACACAATCAACAAGGGACCCAGCAAAATTGTTGCTAAAACGCGACGTGGTAAGTACAGTGCATTTAAATGTATATAAATGTGAAAAAGTACAATAAACCCAAAGACCGGGCACGGAATGGAATTGTTGCCGAACTGTTATGTCACAACAATGCGTTGAGCGGCAGCGCACACTCGCACTCATCTCTCTCTCTCTGTCGCTCTTTTTTGAAAATTGTTTTGCCGGCATTTCAACTGCAAACTGACATTTGCATCATTCTCTCCGTTACTTGTCAGGTCTGGCCCAAAACTTTGAAAAGTTCGAGAGCATCAAGGAGAGCAGCAAGAAGAACGGCAGCTTCGATCTGAACAGTCCCCCGGAGGAGCACAACAAGTAAGAGAACAGAACACAGCTGAAATGCCGAAACGCTTATGCAAACAATGCGTGTGCCTGCACATGTTGGAAATGTGTCGGAAAGGGAGCGAGGGACCCTCGTCTTATCTTGACATTTTATCGCAAGAGACAAGAGACTGAGCGACCTAGCTAGCACTCCTATGCTAATTGAGAAACGGAGCAGAGCGCTCACAGTAGGAGGCAACACGTGGGTCAAGCATCGGTTATCGGCTGGCCCCAAAGGCAATGACTTTTCCGCCCGTTACGTCACATGTTTCTAAGCGAGATGAATGGGAGCCACAGCAACAGACATTAGTAGGGCGCAAGCCGGCTGTGCGAAAATCATGATTTCTTATTGTACAATACGCATCCTTGCCAATCGAATGGAATGTGCTGAGTAGAGGAAAATCGATTGAGATATCGCTTCATATCACTATTCGTTATCAGCATAAAATGCCAGTCACATCTGCCTATGTTAGCATCTTAATTTGTACCAATTTATTTTGTACAATTTGATTTATTGCTTTAATGTATAAAAAAATATTCGTACGTCAAGGTGCCTAGAGCAGAGTACCACGCTGTCGTTTTCCCCCACTTTCCTCGAGTGATTTATTTTTGTAGTCCACATGTTCACGGGGCGCAGTACGGTTTGCATAAGTGCGGCGTCATTAATATTAAATATTTCGTAAAATTGTAATTGAAATGTAATGACTTTGGGAAAACAGCATCCCGCGCCCATTTTTTCAACAGAGTGCCTCAAAACGGATAACACCCACCAAGCTGATCGAGGATGAGGTGATAACACCGCAGCATGAGGAAATCATACGCTATATAAATGACTGTAAGTCGAACACACAATACACATTTATACATATATGTATAAGCACATCCCGAAACTAAGCTATATTTTAATGCAATTTTTTTCGTTATAGCATGGAACATGTTAGTGGCACCAAATCCCTATGATTCGAGTACATCGGCGAAGCCCTGCGAGAAACCAGTGGCAGATGCTAACAATAACAATGCCACTAATCCTGTGGAATGCATCATCGCCAATAAACCATTTCCCACCTCCGCATCGGCGGCTGTTTGGGTGGAGCCTCCTAGCCCAGCGTTGCAAGACTTCAAGCCCTTCGATCTGGAATCATGGTGGGGTCGTCGCTTGTTCCAAAACATTACCAAGAGCCTCTAATTAGCAGCGCCGAGCAGATTATGTAGCGCTTGCTGAGATACTAATTCATAGTTCGCCAGTGCTTCCTTTTATACTTTCTACTAGGAAAATCACATTAGATATAAGCGAGCGAGTTGTGCGATTAGTGTTTAAGTAAAATAGTTTCGGTTCATAACTATTAGGTAATATGTCGTCTAAGTTTTAGTGCTCTCCTTTCTTAGCATGTTAAGTAAATAACTAGTTGTCGCTGTTGGCCAATGTACATATACATTTTGCACATCTTTTTGTGCAATAGACTTTTAAGATGTGTAGTTAACGCTTTACAGTTTTAGGCATCATTTATGAAAATTATTACAACTGACAGATAGACAAGTTTTCAAATTTTTAAAGTTATTTCGAATTATTTCACATATGTCACTTCCTCCCTATAGATTAGTCTGTATATATGAATGAATTTGGATATTTTTTTTTCGACTCTAGTTTAGATTAAGCCATTTGTTGATCTAGAATTGGTTGATCCAATTCCAGTTCACTAGAAACACTAACCAAGAGCATACAGTCCCCTACCCTACATTTTTTTAGCACAAACAAAATAAAAGAATGCTAAAAACTACATATGTATAACTTGTTTTAAATGGAATAGCGTAGTAATATTGGACCAAAATGTTCTAGTTTGAATTATAAGAGATAATATTGAAATTTGAAAATAATGTTCTAGTATTTTGGCACACTTACAAAACAGTTACACCAGCCCGAGCTTTGATGAGCACTGTTACCAGTGCTGCCAGAGCTATGCCATGCCGAAAAGAGCTATGACCAAAAACATATAAGATACAAATTAGGCACTTCTTAAAACAGTGAAAACCACATTTATTGCGGTTTTATTGTTTATATTTCAATTACCGATATTTGTGGCAATATTTTAGAAAAATGCTAGATATCGGTAACGAGGTAATATCTAGCTAATAATTTTCGACATCAAAATTGATCAATATGGTTTCCAATCTTTGACGGAGAACGATTATTATAAACCAAGGGGGTATTTCAATTTTCCACCGAAAATAATGAAAATTTAATAATGTCAGAGCAGTTCAGGTAAAAGATATCGTACTTGTAATATTCCACGCAATATAAAAATCGAGGAATATAGAACTTGAATTCGTCAGTATATTTACGGTATATTTTTAAAATGAGACGGTATATTTTGGTATATTTCTGAGGGACGGACGGTATATTTTAACGATAATACCGCGGTCACATTAATACCGACAGCATAGTTATTTTTATTAAAATTAAATTAAATTGAAGATGGCAAGTGATGGCGGGGTTATATTTGAGCTGGAATCAAAGGTGAAAGAGGTCAATCTGGAGGATGTTGCCTCTCGCCATCGCCGCGAGCGCAAAGAACTTCAGGCCAAGTTGCAGGCCATGAAGAAGAATGCGCCCAAGAACAATAAATCCAAGCGCAAGGAGTTCCTAGAGGAGATGTCACGCCTGGAGAGTGAGCTGGAGCAGCGTCAAAAGATCGAACTTCAGGCAGACGAAAGCAAAGATGTGTCTGAGCTGCCCAAGAATCAACCCGTTGCAGAGGCGCCGCCTGCTGGAAGCGAACCAGCCAAAAGCGAGGACGACGGAAAGAAACAGTCGCAGGAACCTGGAACGCAGCAGCGTGTGTCTAAAGCCCAAAAGCGGCGCGACAAGAAGTCACGGGAGGCCCGCGAACGCGAGGCGGAAATCCGCGAGGAACTCCAGAATGCAGCCAACGATGGCCCATCGCTCAAATGGATCGAACTCCAGCAGATCACAGACAAGTTGGCCAGTCGGCAGCTGGCCCTGCACTCCATAGCCTCCGATGGAGACTGCTTGTACCATGCTGTGCGCCATCAGTTAATTGCCAATGCTCTGCCCGGCCACAGCGTGCAAGAGCTGCGCAAGGAGACAGCCAATTATGTGCGTGCCCAAAAGGACGCTTTCATATGCTATATGACCCATCCGGAGACTGGAGATCTGTTAAATGACGAGCAGTTCGAGCAATACTGCAAAGACATAGAGGACAACCACGCATGGGGTGGTCACATCGAACTGAAGGCAATCTCCTCGCTGCTGAAAGTTCCCATTGAAGTCATCCAAGCCGAGGGAGCTCCTACACTGCTAGGGCAGGAGGAATTTGGCGGTGCTCCCCTGGTACTGTGCTACCATCGTCATATCTACCAGTTGGGTGCCCATTATAACTCCACAGTGCCAGTGGAAGCCGAGCCATAAAGGAGTCAGAAATCTATTGAATTTGTAACAGTTTAACTATTTTTATTTATAAATACGCATTGGAAGATTTGAATTATTGTCAAAAATTTGCAAGTACTTAGTAGCTATGTACAATAATAGTAACAATTGTTCATTAGATAGCTGAGGATTTTTATTTGTCTCCCCTCAACTTTCGCTCTTAGAATGATTTATTTTAGGAAAATATCGCATATATGTATGTATGTAGAAAAATAATTTGTATAGGACAAATTTCAATTGGTTTTGATTTTGTTTTGGCGATTTAGTGTAAATTCAAGCAATATGCAATTTGATTACTTCGCAATTCTAGCTACATATTAATTGGTTAATTAATCCATTAATAGTCCGCTCACAAAATTATTTCTCCTTCTTGCTGTCCTTCTTGGCCGCCGGCTTCTTGGCAGCTGGCTTATTCGGGTAAATGGCAAACATCGACAGCTGAATTCCACCCAAGATCAGAAGCAACAAGTTTTGGAGCTAAATGTAAAAATCGTACATCAAGTGGATGATTCTTATAAAAGCTGCTGCCCTCTCAACTTACCACCATCACAGTATTCTTTATGGAGATGGCGTACAGCATCCAGGAAGTGGCTACCAGGTTACCAGACAATATAATTGGAAAGGGCATGCCCTCGGTGCTCTTCTTCGCAATGATTTTAGGAAGGTGCAGGAGGGGTGAGCCCACCAGCCACACAAGGATTCCCGTGATGAGCATTCCCAGACGGAACTCAATCTTCTTGGGATCCTCAAAGTTTGCATATGCAGTGCACGCCAACAGGAATATGGATGCGTAACCAATCTGCTTCCAGATGTTTCCCCTGCTACCACTGGAGGCATAGTAGTAGAAGCCGCCAAGAAACACAAAGTTTATCACCAATCCAATTAAATTAGTGTTTATCATGGCAGCATCATTCATAATATTGGCCAGCTTCAAGCTGAGAACCGTTCTGGAATGGGAAAAATGGTTTTTATGAATAGAAGTGTAGCCAAGTTTCGATCTTCCCCTGAAGCCAATTTAAATTGTATACTCGATTAATTAATTAACAAAAATTCGAGTACACCTACTACATATGTACATACAAACATACATACATACATATATGTACACATATCCAGAATCATAAAATTTAACGTTAGTTGCATTCGACAGAACGGGGAACAGATCCCAAAAAGGTTTAGAGACGATCGCCTTATTGTTGTTTAGTTTATATTCAGGCATATCTTCTGTCGATTGTTTCAGAAAGTTTAATGAATGAATAGCAGTATGCGAGCTTCTGAGAAATATAATTGGCTTCAGTCCTCTGCTGAAGATTTTCCTATTTATGCTCATAGTGCAAAAAAAAACCTGTTTTGTGTGTTGCTAAATTATGCGATTTTGGTCCGTATATGTATACGTACAACTAGCCGGAGATTTCCATCTCTTATGCATTCTAAGAGATTCTACTGTGGTAAATATTCTGGTCAAACGGGTTTTGCAGTAGACCAGCTGTGGAATTTTGTTTAATTACAAATCATGCTAATTTATCGGGCTCTGTTGATAACATTAAAAGTAGACTACAAAAATGTGTCAGCTACCATTTTATCAGTAAAAACCTCCATGGTGGTGAAATAATTTCGATTATGGTGATATATAACGACACAGGTCCACAAGGTAACATTGACCTTGCTACACACCTACACCTTGCAGCAGGGCACCCAACTGTTGCATGTTCGGGCGTCTTTACACTGGACACAGTATACGGTGCCACCCCCACTGAGCACAGAGAGAGAGAGAGAGAGAGAGACCAACTCTGATTTCTCATTCCGAGCACGTGGAGTGGGCGAGCCGCTTATCGGGGCTTGTCTTATGAGCGATTAGCGACGTCCGACTATCCTTCATTGAGCAGACTGGCAGATCGGAATACTAAGTTAGAACTTTACAAATAAACATTTAGATAAGAGCTACGTGTTGGCTGGGGCTTGCCATCGATAAGAAACGACAGATTCTTGTATGACAAGGTCAAAAGAAATTATTTGAAATTGTAATGGTTGACTGACTGAGATGATCGGAGCAGCTTTCTGCTTTCATTTGGGCGTGATGTAATCGCCAATTTCTGTATCATTGAATAGAACGTAAAACGATTTTAGGTGCGTCCTTGAGCTAACCGATTCTGCGGTGTCATGGCGACAATTCAAAAATTTAATCAATGCCCACACAGATGCACTCTTCGATGACAGTGTGTGTAGTGCAGGGGCACGTACTTACAGGACCACGCCGCCTAGAAACGGTCCGACTGGATAAACATCGCTGCTGCCCTTCTTACGAATGTCGTTGAGCAGCGCTATACCGGACAGAAATTGCAGGGTAGTAATTGTGCCGGCCACCTTGGCAATGAGCTCGCTGTGGGGTGCCAAAAGATCGCCCAGTGCCTCCATGTTTAATTGGATTTTATGTGTCAAACGTAAACGAGTTTTGCGTGCGAGCCGAAAGGGGAGAGTCTCTTCTCTTCGAGTATAAACAAATCAACAACGAAAACAAAAACCTAACGACCGACTGGCACCGTAACAATGAGCTCCAACTGGCGGGGCTGTCCACCTTTTATAAACAAAAATGTTCCAGATTTCGCCACGTTTCCCCAGCTGTTATCGTTATCGCCCGCTCGGGCTTATCGTTTCCAAAACACATTTCGTTCTTCGTTACTTTCTTTTCATTATCAATGGTATGGTATGGTATGGTCCTACGTGTGTTTCTGTTTTACTTATTCGACTACTTGGTTTGTAAACGTATTTAGACTTCTTCCTTCAGTACATGCTTTTTCTTCTCGCTGACGTAGGGTACTTTGCCGGGCTTGGAGTGCTTTCGCACATTGGCCTCCTTTACTTGGTCCTTCTCTTTGCCCGCACGCATCTTTCTCTGGGCATTGAGAACATGGCGCGGCACTTGACGATGACGTGCGATGCGTTTGATTTGCGGATGTGCAGCGTACTTTTCCTTGAGGGCCTCCTGATAGTTGAAATTAGTACGTTCTCTTGGGCGAATGATTCCCAGCTTCTCCGACGCGTTCGATTTCCACATGCGCACGTTCATTTCGTCGGAGCCAGAGAAAATATATCGATTATCCAAAGACCAGGCACAACAGACCACATGTTGCATTCGCTTGGTATGGTAAATGTCTCGGGAATGACTCTGATGGGCATGATAGATGCGTATAGTCTTGTCATAGCTAGCAGAGACGAATTCCTTCCCTGTGGGTGCATAGTCCACATCGGTTACGGCGGAAACGTGATCGAAGTGCACCTTTAGAGGAGTTTGAAGTTTACGTGTGTCAAAGGTATAGAGACTGCAAAGGAAAATAGTTATTAACGTCCTATACGACTCCCAAATGTCCCTCCCTTCACCTACTTGCAGTCTTCGTTGGCCACTGTAAAGTTGAACGCCTCCATGGGATTCCAGGCCAGCTTGTTGCTCTTCATGGTTAACACCACCTTGCGCAGCGGTTGAGCCTCACGTTGATCGTATAGTATGATGCTACGATCGCTGGCACAGCAGGCCAGCACATTGGTCTCCACCGGATTGTACGAAATCGTGTGCAGGGTGTCCACTCCCCATTTAAGCGTCTTCAGAGGATCATTGTGCTGCTCATCCCAAATGGCGCACACCTCGCCACACGTGGCAAAGCTGTTGTCTTTGCGGTTGTGCGAAATGCCATGCATGCCATATCGACTCAGTATTGTGTTGACCGGCTCCTCCTCCTCGCCCACCTCCGGTGCCTGTGAGTTCCAAACCTTAATGGTTTTGTCATCGCCGACGGTGAAGATACGTTCTCCATCCTTCGCATACGCGATTCCCCGCACAAATCCATTGTGGGCCACAAAGCTCCGGGCACTCACGCGATTCGCCAGGTCCCAGATACGCACCTCGCCGTCGTAGGCTCCGGTGGCTAGCGTGGAGAGCAGCTTGGGATGCTTGCCAAAGCAGGAAACGCCGTCGCGATGTCCACTCAAATTGCAGACAAAAGGTTTGGCAAATACGCGATCCAGTTTGGTGGCATTCAGCGCACGCACATATTCCCTGGGGCCCTCCAGTGGATGCAGCGATGGATCATAGTTGCGGGGCACTACAATTTTTAGAGCAACATATAAATGATGCTGGCTAGGGCATTACTGTGGACTCACTTTTGTGTTGCTGCAGCTTGGTTTCCCGGACATAGTTGTCCGGGTTGCGACTTATCATTTTAACCTTCATGATAGCATTTATTTACGTTAATTACGGCGTAAAAGAAAAATAATGCAAAGGAAAACAAACATGTGCGCAAGTGAACAGTGTGACCGCGCAGACCGCGGAACTATCGATAAGATTTGAGTTGAAATATACCTAAAAAAAAATATACCATGAATTTAATGGTTCACCTGCAATCTGGGCGACCGGTTACGTTATTTTTAATACTTTTCGGTATTTTTGAGGTAAAAATTGAACCGACGGTATATCGGTATGAGGTCGCCCCCTCCCCACGGACACCATACGCCGGATTCGAGCTATAATCATGGCCATCAGATTTGATTGGAGACGAGACGCTGGATGGCAACAAGTGTCGGTACTGGTTGGCAGCTAGGACTACGTGTACTGGAGCGACTGGAGCAGCGGGGACATTGATCAAGACTGGCCAGAGCCACAGCCTCGCCAAGGACGTGCCCTGCATCCCCGCCAGCTACGCCAAACTGCCCAAATGTCGGTGTCCGGCAAGAATATCCGTGCCCAGGTGAAGCTCTCTCACCCTATTGAGCTGTGTTCTAAAACGTTTCCTCTTTTAGCTTCTTGGGCGAACTTGCAGAAGCCTCGCAACATTGCCGTGCATGCCATGAAGGTGAGGCGGCTGCTCTTCTGCTCAGATGTCGGCAGTCATCAGGCCATCCGGACAGATAATTTTAAGTGGCGGGGAGTAGTGACATGAACAACGACTGTATATCCGCCTTCTAGCGCTGAGACGAAAAGACTGCCCGGCAGATTCAGCTGATAGTCAGCCGAGGGCAACGACAAGGCTCTGATCTGCAATCGTACCACCTGTGACAACTGTGAAAATGTCCACGACGAGGCCGACTGCTGCAAGCGGCCAGGAGATTTTCAGTGAGATTTTCAACAAGGTGATTGGAAAGACACGATATCTGCCCAATTCTTACACTAACAATATCCTAATTCCACCTTCCCACAGCTTTGCATATCGGCCGCCCTGCTCTGCGATGGCTGGGAACTCTGCCCGAGCTAAAGAATCGACTTCTAATGGCTCCATCGAAGATAATAAATAAAACAGTAAGCAGTAAGCATAGCCAAAAATAATTGGAAATCACTGCATACTGAAATGTATTCTCCTCGCAGGGAAGCACGCCGTCAAGCACTCCCTTTTAAAGACTTTAAAAACACAATAGAGAATCTGCAGGATATTTCATTTGAGGTGCAACGCGACCAAGCTGCGGATGAAGATGGAGCGAAAAGACTGGACGAGTGTGCCAGGTTACCACTACCACAATGCCTTCTACAAGGACCCCAGGTCCAAAGGCGATACCAGTTTAAGGTGGTATAAACAGCAGTCAAGTTTTCGCGGAGTATAGTCCGGTCCAACATTCCACGAGCTCGAGAGGCATCGAGAGCCAGCTCGCCTACTTGCATACCCAGCCGCGAGGAAACTAAGGAGCTGAGTTAAAGGTTGAGCTGGCCAACGCTTTCAGCAAGAACGAGGTGCGAGTGGCCCAGATCTTGCGGGACCGGATAAAATGAAAAAAGAAACACGTATTTAAGGATGTGTTATGTGGTGGATGTGTGCAACACCAGAAGGAAGCGGCTTCTTACCCCATAAAGTATGTTTATTCTGGATCAGCATCAATAACCTAGCCGATATAGCCATGTCTGTCTGTCCGTCAGATGAGCGCTTAGATCTCGGAGACTATAATAGCAAGAGCAACGCTACGCAAACCTTTCCATGCGCCTAATCATTCTCTCTCTCTCACACACACACTCTTCCTCGTGCTGTGCGCGTTACCGGCGGAAAGAAGCGAGACAGAAACACTGCTGGTGTTGGTATGAGAAGAGGGAGAGAGAGAATAAAAAACTGTTGAGGAAAAATACAAGCAAATGAAATATTCTAAAACTAATAAAATGCTTAATAGGTGAATAGAGGATAAACGGAGAGCAACAATTAACATGAAATCATAACTAGTGGTCGTGGTTCCTCTCTATTTGTCTCTCTAGAGAGATAGAGAATACTGCAGTCATCAGCTCCGATACCAACTCTGTGGCTTACGTATAATTAGGTATGAAATATTTATATTTTGTAAGTTGTATAAATCATAAGGCTCTCCCATTGTATGTACTGACTTAGTGGCCAAATACTGCTTATAGCAATTTCTCTACGGTTCTGTCTGTGCTTAGATTTACTTTTCTGAGTTCAGCTTTTCGTGACAAAGCACCTGCGAAAAACTAGCACAACGAATTCAATAATGGAGGAACCATAATCAATAAAGGAACCAGGATACATTCAATACTGCATGAACATTCGGCCATCAAAAATAATTGTTCTTGTAGGATACTTCATAATTGACAAATGCCCCAAAAAAAATCTCATCAATTGATGCTAAGATGTGATATCCAAATGCAGTCGTGGTCACTAATCATGGATAAAAGAATATGAGCCCGAACACACAACAATTGATGCTATGGGTGTTTTAAAACGGTGCAAATTCTAAACCAAATGTTAAAAACTGGTCATGCCCCAACTTTTTGGGTAAAGAAAAGTAGGGAGATCATTCTGACATTTTGAGAGCCAGAAGGGGTGCGAAAGTAGGTTAAAACTTCAAAAAAATTGATATTCATCGTCCAGACGAATATGTTTAGAAAGAATAAAACTGTATTTTTAAAGTTATAAATATAACGTTGAAAGTTTATATCGTCTGTTAAATTAATACGTATAACAACCAAACACACTGGCAATACAAAAAAAAAAAACTATCACCGTCGAAGATATAGGAAACATAATCATCTGAGAGTTGATCCCATATAGCCCGAGCCCCAGAGAAACAGCCCTGTCCCTTCATCTCCAGATTGATTTCGTCGTAACGTAACTCTCGCTAGTCAGTCTCTCCGTGAGCACACGTTGCATTATATAGCGAATGTATGGACAAGGGAACTTGTTGCCAAAAGCTGCTCCCATATTGTAGGCATGGTAAATAGTAACATCCGTTGACTGGTATTGTCTCATCGTGTGGTAGCTCCTTTGGGGTCGCATCGGATTTGGCCTCTTCCAAAATATGCTCACTTGCCACAGTGTGTCTCCTGTGTCTGTATCTGCCGCTAGTTTTCCAGAGCACTGTCGTTTTTGTGCTTACTCTGTGACATTTTTGTTTTTTGTTGTACAATTTCCTTTGTGATGCTTTCGCTTCGAATAACATCGGTGTTGAGAATTTTTAAACAAAAAGTTTCTGTACGACGATAGTAGTCGATTGTCAGCGCGAAGTACCTCTTCCAGGGGTCTTGGGTTTTATGTACGGGCGATCGATTCTCGATCTCGCCCTCTCGCTCTTTTTCATATGCGGAGGGGGCTGCGATCTCACTCTGTCGCTGCTGCTGGCCATCGGTCTCTCTCTCTGAATACTCCCTTACATACATACATATGTACTAAATATATAACTCGAGACAAAAATTAGGTTTGAGAACTGCTTGAGTAGATCTCATGACCATCTTTAGAATCTGGAATATACGGATGGCCGTAAATGAATACGGTCCTACCTCCAAAACGTCGTTGAGGTGACTGAAATTTATGAATTGAAAACAAAATAATATAAAATAATGTCAAAATGAATATCAAAATAATAATTTACATTCAATTGATTTTTATTTTTACGTAAACATTTTTTTTTTGGTTTTTACTTTTCATTAGTAAGTATAATGAAACAATTTTTTTTTTTACGATCAAAATTAACCTAACACCAATTAACCTAACAAAAGTTCAATGTTCGTAAGACCTGCGATATTGTCGTTTTGAGGATGATAGTGCCTCACTCTTACGAGTATTACCGGCCAATGCCAGAGCTAAGGTCCGAGAGGTCAACTCTTGTTCTTTTTTTTTTTGTTGTTCTTGGAGTTCGTTAAGTTTGTGCAAGTCACAGTTAGGCAACGAATCCATAAAGATCCCCAGAGTCCTTTCAAAGTTATGAAGGGGTTCTTTAGCGGTACCCGAACATATCCGATGGGAGCAGGCCTCGATAACCACCTGGGCATGGTAGATGCAGTCACTGGCATAGCCCAAAGATTGCTTCAGATTGTCGATCTGCTTCTTTTTCATTGAGTGTATTTGCAGGAACCGGGAACAGAGCGTCTCGACGCGGCGCTGCTCGTTGCGGTACTCATCGAAAAGATGGTCGTATTTGGCCTGGAGTTCCTCCGTCTCGCACTTGAGGAGCCTATGGGCCTTTTCCTTTTTGGCCAGCTGCCGGCGACTCTGACGATGCGAGACAGAAAGCTCATCGTAGCTGTGGGAGACAACGATCACTTGGCATTTGGGATACATTCAGGCCGTACGTACCGCTGTTGCATGAGCAATGGACTAATGGACTCGAAAATTCCTCCAATGGACTGTACATGGGATCCACCTGGCATCCTCTCATCGGGCTCACTCTCGCCCGAGGAGTCTATGCCGCGGAGCAGCTGCACCAATCGGCTATTGCGCTGCTTTTCCGTGTCCAGGGAGAAGTGCAGCTCCTGTATTCTATCCGATTGTCGTTCCAGGGCCATGCGCAGCTTAAACTCCTGCTGCTGATCCTCGTAGAACGTGTGCTCCAGCTCACTGACCTGATAGAGGATCTGCTGGATCATCTCTTTGTATGGATGACGGCTCTGATTCAGCTGGGGCACTGAAATGGGCAGACGATCGCTATCCTCCTCCAAAGTGTTTTCGTATTCGTCGTCGCTGGCGAATGGCGAGCTGGCAATGGAACTGGGCGTGGAAGTAGAGGTTCCACTTGAATAGGTCGAACTCTGCTCATCCTTGCCTGGGTACTGCTTCGAGGCACTCGCCTCCAGCCCTAAACTTTTACGCAGACTCCTGACTATGGCAGACAGGTTCATCCTGGGTCCTTCGTTTTGTCACCTGACTTTGGGTGACTTTAGTATATGTCCGTGCGTGTGTGTTGACTGTATCTGGTTTGTCAGCAAGGAATTGTGCCAGTGCCTACTTGTGCCAGCCCAGCCCAGCACAGCAACACACACAGTGAAGTTGTTTCCCCTTCAGCTCACTTTCCATATGGTTCGGCACAACTTTTAAATTGGTTTCAGTTTTAACACCTCTGCCTCCAGTTTCCCGGACACTCAATCAAAGTTGTCGTTTCGAAAGGCTCCTTCCTGTACGCCTCGCATACGTATGTTTGGGAACCCCCACCCCTGACCCTACCCCTACCCCTACCCCTGCTCCCTTTCTCTCTCTCCTCTCTTCACTATATCCAGTGTGCGGTGCGTTTGTTAGTCGTGCGTAAATTGCCATTAGGCAAAAAGGGTTTTCCAAGACTTGATATACTTACTGCATTTTTATGCGAAAAAGTTTTGTTGTTTCTTACTTTTTCTTCTCTGTTCTCTGTTCAACTGAGCGAGCGAGAGAGGGAGGGGAGCGACTTAAAGTTGCATGTCCTTGATAGAGGTGGATCTCATACGGGCCCTTTTTTTCAATATCGTTACATAAATGTGGTTAGGAATAACCTAGTTCACTGCATATACATTATTTTATGCGCTTGCTTTCATATTTCTTTATGCTCCGACTAACATAGTAGGGACTTGAAAAGAATAAAGAAGTAAAATAGAAGTATACATCTAATCGAATTATATTGTATTTATCTGCGGTGGGCAACAACCAATACAGAAAAAAACCCCCAAAACATATTTTGCCTCGTATTTTGTTTTTTTTTTTGGGAGCAAATGAACAGCCCACCGCTGATCTACAGTGACACAACTTTATAACTTTTTGATACAGAACACCACAGAACAAAATTAAATGTAAATCTAAATAAATAGACAATAAATGAATCTATTACTTTTTCGCTAATGACTTTGCTTATAAATCAATGATTTTTTTGTGAAATTAATCGCTTATAAATCTATTACTGCCAGATGAAAATGTCAAGGACTTCTCCATGTTAGTGTCATCAGTTCAGCGTATGGTGGGTCATCGGGGGTAGTGACGCTGCCATTGAGAACTCATCTGATGATGCATTGAATGTACGACCCGTACTGGAAGTGATTGATTATTCCAAAGTGCTTCAAAGTAAGCAAGATTGAAAAACCAGCTCTCGAGACCGATCCATTAAAGACATACAATACGATCTCAATGTTTTATCAATAGAAAATAAATATATTAGATTTGGAACCTATTACTCATAGGTTCACACGCTCGAAGGTGCACTGTAAAGTCCATGTACAGTCGTCGCCGTCCACCCCATTCAATCAAAGCAAATCTTATCTATATTAGGTGATAAACCGCTCTCGCAGTTAGCTAATATAATTAACTGCATAGCCAAGCTTTTCCGAAGCAACGAGCGCCATATATATTGACCCTCAAAGAACTTTTTTTATTTAATTTCCCTGCATTCAAATGTACTATTTGCTCTCCAGCACGCTATTGTGCTCTCCCGCTCGCCAACGCCAACGCCAACGCCAACTGTCTTCTGTGACAGCTGAGCCGTTGTTTTGGGAACTTTCCGCATTAAAGCTTCAACTGCGCTCGCGGCTGGTCGCGGAAATTTCTGCAGCCACAGCTCAATTGTTACAAATAAAAGAGATTTAAATTAAAACAGGGACCCGTGTAAGATGGCTCGTTTTGTGGCTGGAGCTCGTGGAATCTTCCGTCGCTATCCATTTGTGACCAACAGTGCCATTTACGGCAGCCTGTATGTGGGCGCCGAGTACTCGCAGCAGGTGCTGTCCAAGCGTTGGCTGGCGGTAAGTGAGTGGGGGGCGGGGGGCGGTATTGGAGATTTCTAATGAGATTTATGTGTCTTGTAGCCGGCGGCAGAGCGTGAGGACATCGATTATGCAACGATAGGAAGATACGCAGTGATGGGTACCGCTGTCTATGCCCCAACGTTATATGCTTGGTTTGTGTCCAACGGCATCTGAACTTGAATATATGTGTACATAGTCACATAACTACCCCACCGCATATTATCATTTAATTGACTCATATTTACATGTGCATTCTTTATATGTATATTCCCCCATTTGTTGCTGTTGTTCGGGACTTTATCAATTTGTTTACTATTTTGGAAAGCTTTGCAGCACGTGTTTCAGTCTCTTCATCATATATGTACTCTCTGTCTCTCTTTAGAAGCACACCATCAGAGCACCAGAGCACAAAAGCTTTTTCTTCGACTATGATAAAAAGAGACGAAAGAGCTTTCCACCAAAAGCACGCTAAGCACTAAGAAATTGAGGCATATGAGTACGACCTGTAACATGCATATAATGTAAGTGGAGAATGATGGAAACTCAGGTGAATCTACACCAAACACTGAACACTGAAACAGTACACAATAGATTGCGTATGGTACCTACATATATTTATATAAACATACACAGATGCATATAAAAAGGTTATTAACACTCTGTAAACCCCACACACGCACACGCACACAAAAACTCATTTGGCAATGCTTCTTATGCAAATATTACATATCAAATCACTCGACAATTTTAAGTGTAATTTGATTTTTAATTGTGACCCCCTTTATAGGTATAAATGGTTAGATCGCACTTTTCCTGGCACTACCAAGACCATTATTGTTAGGAAATTGGTACTGGATCAATTTATACTAACGCCTTATCTATTGACAATTTTCTATGCGGGTAAGCTTCACTTCCAGGGTAGCCAACACATTTCAATTATACAAGTTTTCGATACTACTGTTATTAATCTAAAACTCTTTGCTCTTTCAGGCATGTCCATCATGGAGGGCTGTGACGATATCCTTCTGGAATTGCGGGAGAAGTTTCTGCCAACTTTTGTACGTTCCTGTATTTTCTGGCTGCCTGCTCAGGTTCTGAATTTTTCCCTGGTGGCGCCACGCTTTCGTGTCATCTATATGGGCGTTTGTGGCTTGATTTGGGTCAATATTCTCTGCTGGATCAAGCGACAGAGTTTGCCGACCACAACAAAAGCAACACCAGCTGAAGACACCACAAATAAGGTCCAAACGTGAGATTTGTACAGAAGATATACTGATGTAGTATGTAGTCCTACTATTTGATAGAGTTGGAAGCTGCATTGACAAATAAAGACAAACCTGGAAGTACTTGGAATTGGAATCGGCCATCAGCTCTACATAGAGTACATATGTAGTTGTTATATAGAGCTATGTATGTGTATTACCTGACTGCAAATTGTTGGGCATATCGAGCGTATGATTGATGTTCCCATAAAGGAAAGCCATCAATTACTACTTATGCTCCACACATCTGTACATCTACCTCGCCCCATCCGAGTTTAATTGTGTGCGTGTGTGCGTAAATGTTTCCATCAATATTTGCCGCACACAAACAAAAACACCCAGCGCCTCAGACTAGTGGCGTAGATAGCAACTATTGTGCTTTATATGAATGGAAATGGGAATGGCGTTGGGGGCGAGTTGTCCGTAAAATGCCTTAATGTATTTAGGCGTGTCTTATAATGCATGGGCATGGAGTAGTATAAGTTCAATCTAGAGATGGGAGATGGTACGATATTGAAATTATGATGGGTAGGTCTCACACACACACACACACAATGTGTTCCTAGCTGGTTTCTGAGATCTCCACAATACAATATATTTTAGTTCCTCAATGCTGAGAAAAAGGAGCGAAGGTAGTCATACAATCATAGTCGCATACATTTAATTGTAGACCTCATCGAAGATACATTTAAGACATTTAGATCTATAGCATATATGGCAACTAAGAATTCGTCAGAGTGCTTCCGCCATTAGTTCTCTATGCAGCCGGGAGTGTGTGTATGTATTTACCCCATGCATCATTATATCCGCATATTCCCTCATTGATTATGTTTCATGTCATTGCCATCCCTTTCTGCGTATGTATTTGTTTACTCCCTTAACACATTAACTTTTTCCTAATGATTGCTCATCTCTAGTCTCTCCGCACTGTGCTAAACTAATTAGAGATGGCGTGTTTTCGGCTGCCCCCAGCCTACCATCACCCCTCTTTCCTAATGCGCGTGTGTCTGTGTGTGTGTGTGTGTGTGTGCGTGTGTGTTTAACTTATTGCTGTCTATTTAAATTGCAATTTGTCAATATCCGTGTGTGTAGCATTACCACATTACCACATGCCCACGCCCATCCCTATCCCCAGCGTGTTCCTCCTCCCACTGCCTCCGTCTGCACAGACTCCGGGCCCTGCCTAGAGAGTCACACAATTAAACTTCTTGTACAGTCATTAACAGCACATAACGTAGGACCAGCCCTTGTCCAGACGAAACTTGCTAAACTTGGCAGACATCGTAGCTTCTGGGCGACCTTCCACCACCTTCGTCTCCAGCACCACCTTCAGTCCATTGGAAGAGCAAAAAAAACAAAAAACAACAAGAAGCACGGTCTAAGCTGTGGCGACGCCTCCTCTTTAGCTACTTCCACACTTCTCCCCTGTCCGCACCATTCCCCTTGACTTTGACTTTGGCGGCGATGTCTTCGCTGGTTTCTCTAGGTTGCTGCTGGTCTCTAGCTCCTGGTTCCCGGCACTGCTTTTCCTTTCTTTTTTTTTTTGCTCTCCTGCTGGTACGAGTATATATTTTGTTGCTGTTGTTTTTTTTTTTTATTTACATCCGCTTGTTTGTTCAAAGCGGAAAATTAATTCCATCTTGGCTTGTTTCCGTTTATCTTGAAAAAGTATTTCGTCGTCTTTTCGCTTTACGAGTATGCTGTTGACCACCTTCCCGTCCCACTTGGCTTTACTTTTCGACAGCCTGCTGACCAGCGGAAAACTGCGTTTCCTACTTTATATTTTCTGGTGAGGGCGGGGGAGAGACAGTCCGGTGGTAGAGGGTGCGGAAGAAGTCTATTTACTTCAAAAGTATTCTGGTTCAGGCTCGATGTAATTCGGTGCTTTCGTACTCTTCTGTTTTTTTTTTTTTAATTTTTTTAATATATTTTTTTAGTATTTGATGAAATTGCAGGTTTTTAAATGATCTGACTTTTAAATTATTTATTATTATTTTATAGAATTGGAGATTACCTTACTGGGAATCGGATCTCCACACACATTAAATATTTCATATTAATTCTGAATTATAAAACGGTGCTGCATTTCTGCCTGGGACCCCCGCCCAACAGTCTTCGGCTTGGTGTTGCATGGGCCACGTAACGGTTCAGTCCTCGCATTCATATTGCATAATAAATACAATAAATAAATAAATAGTTGGCAATCCCTTCCATTATCATATGTGTACACATGTATATGTTACGTTATTTTTTGTTTATATTTAATTTGCAATCACCGAATCAGTTGTATGTCCTCGTAGAGCATTCCAACTTCAACATCAACTTCGTGGTCCCCGTTTGGCTTTCCAGTTTTGTTTCGTTCCATTTTGCTTGTCCTTCGCCGCTGTTTGGCTTGCCGGGTGGGAGTGGGAGTGGAAGCCGTCCACTCCAGCCAACTTCCGGTCTCTGCAGCTCCAGCTCCAGCACCAGCACCAGCACCAGCGTCAGCTCTGGGCATCGTGGCGTGAAACTAGCGCGTCGCGTCGCGTCGCCCACAACACGTACATTAAATTAAAAATTAATTTACAAAAATAAACAGAGTTATGCCAGAGGAAGCAGCTCGTGAGCGATACCGACCATAAGAAGCTAATACTAATTCTGCTTCATTTGATTCAATTACCGGATGTATTCCGTCCAGCAGAGTGTAGAGCAGCGGACCGGACACCGGACTATCCGGACGCGCTTCTTTCTTCGGGAATTTTCGTGTTTATCTTGGACACGCGGCATGGGGCTTCCGGGCGACTGCCTGGGTATCCATCCTCGACATGGACTTGTCGTAATTACCGCACAAGACAAATAGAAAATGGCGTAAAAACGAGAAATTAATCAACGTAAGGAGCCACGCCGACGCCCGCGCCCGCGCCCCATCTCCCTTGGCCCCCAGTCCACTCTAGAATCCTGTTTTCGATTCGGTGTGAAGCGCTTGGCAAATATGATGGAACATGGTCGGAGTATAGGACAGGGAAATTTGACACAATGCTGAGCGTTGGCTCTGTGAAGTGGAGACGGATCGTCATTCGTATAGATGGCGATTGGAAGTCTAGAATTAATTGCAAATTATATTTAGACGAGTATGTGATATGAATAGTGTTTTATTTGATTGGTTTAGAGTTGTAATTGGTTTAAATATTGTATGATGCTGAACGCTTTTCTATGATTCCATTGTTACCATTCTTATGTTGGGATTTCCTTTCTGGCCGCCGCTTTGGGGATATTCGATGTTTTGGATGATAGTTCCATTAGGCTCTTTCACACGATGCTGCATTATAAATTTCATCTACTTCCCCATCTGTACCCCTCTGTAGCGGTCTGCGCGATGTTGCCATGCTACCCAGATACCTCTGGCACTCTCCAGAAATCCCCCCTCTGCCTTCAGGATGGGCTGTGGGACATCCTGGTGCGGCACATTTGTTTGCCGGCATGTGAAAATTGATTGCTGTTGTTCATAGCCGCGGGATATGGCCAAAGTTTTGAAGTTCCCAATGTTGGGCCCCCCAGCCAGGGTCCTTTTCCGCTTTCGGTTGTTGGTTGGGCGCTGAAAAGCTGAAAACAATGCGCATTTTCCTCGCGGGTCTGCGTCGCCTTGGACCGAGCTGGGGCTTTTTTTGTGCTCGTTGTATTATTAAGAAAGTTTTATATTTTTTTTGTCGGTTTTCTGCCAAGCTGGGGTTGGAGTATATTTACATTTGGCAGTTGGCTGCGTTAAGCGGCTTGGGTTGCCATGGCCGTTGAGGGCTAGAGAGGGTCTGGACTGTGGAGGATCTCAGACGAGTTCTGGTCAGAACATTTTTCTGCTGGTGCTGAAATTTTTAATACTCTGTTACCTTGTCGTGCAGACAATTTGATGCCAATGGGAATATGGGTTTTTTTCTGACCTTCCCTTCTCTACGCTATCCAGTTTTTTTTTTGCTGTTTTGGTTTTCTTTTTGGCTGTGGTGCTATAAAAACCTCTGTATTCTCGTATATATATATATACATATATCTATAGATATGTATGTGTGTGTTTGAATTGGGTTCGTGTAGCTTTATAATTAAAGAAAGACGAGGCGAAAACAAAGGAATAATAACAAAATAAGAGCCTGACAACGGTTGGTAGGAGAGTCCACTCAAGGAGGACTTGTCGGTGTGCTCGTGCTCTCCTTAAAGTGCCTCGGGGGTCAATTCCGCGAACGCAAACCGAGAATGAACTGGAAGTAAAATAGCCAATCGACTAGTTCATAGTTGGGCCAATTTTTCCTTGGAATCGAGGACTTTGAAATTCCGATTTGTTCATTTGAAATCATTAGATTAATCGACTGTAAATAAATAAAAGATTTAAAGAACAATCATATATGTAGCTCTTATCGACTCTTCAACTACCTTGGGAATGTGTGAATTGGGTGTGTTATTTCAGACCTAAAATGAAATTTCAGTCAATTGGTTGTTAGACTCACTGTGGTAATCCTCTAAAATATAGAATGTGAAATCAGAAACAGCAACAGCAAGTTTTTTTGACAAGCTTATGTGACATTTTATTTGATCGATCGTTCCAGTTCCTATCGCAGAAATACTATTATACTTTCTTCCTATAGTCCTATGTTCTGAGTACAGCAAAAAAGGGAGATGTACAAAGTTTCAACGAGATAGGAGGGGCTATGGAAATAAGCAGACTTTGATCGTATTTCTGATCAGGAACCTTCTTCAAGGATAAAGTCAGGTAAGAGCTGTATAGTGAAACAAAAGCACTATTTACATACCAAAGGTGTTTTGTTGGTACAGTCAGCGACATAGAGTCAAACTTGATCCTTATTTATCTGCTTGGACATCTCAGAGGGAGTCTCAAGATGCAGGTTCTGCCAGATGGTCCTTGCTTATTACAATTGGAACTCTTTAACAAAAGATGATCAATAACCACAAACTTGATTATTCATACATATGTTACATGGTATGCATAGAACTGGAAAATTCACTCATGCACTAAAATACTTACTCCCATGCAACCACTTACTCAAATCACCCTAAAAGCTTCCACGGTCACACTTAAATGCGCTGCTGACTGCTGACTGGACCCGAACAGAG